TTCTTCAGTGTACATGGAACATTCTCAGAATAAGCCACTTGGTGACACATAATTCAAGGATCCATAAGGTCATTAAACTAGAAATCATATCAAGTATCTTTTCAGAACACAATGCCATGAAAATAAAAATTAATCACAAAAAAAAAATAGGGGAAATATCCAACATTTGGAAACTTAACAACATACTGTTAAACTACCACTGGGTGAAAGGGGACATCAAAGTAAAACCGGAAAAAAAGATTCCTAAACTAGAAGGAAGACACAAAGTGTCAGACTTATGGGAGAAGCAAAGGCAGTATTCATGGGGAAGTTCACAGCAAAATAGGCTTATCTCAGGAAACACTGAAAACCTCTAATCAATAAACGAATCTCACAGTTTGAGAAACTGAAAAAAGAGCAAGTCAATCCCCAATTAAGTAGCAGGAAGGAAATAAGTCAATCTGATCAATCACACAGAAATCAAGAAAACATACAAGTGACATCTGCAATTGTTTGTTCATTGCAGCACTCTTTACAATAGCCCAAATCTGGAAAAAACCTGAGTGCCCAAGAACAGATGACTGGTTAAAGAAACTTTGGTACATTTACACAATGGAGTACTATGTAGCTGTTAGAAAAGATGAAGTCATGAAATTTACATACAAGTGGTACTACATGGAAAGTATCATGTTAAGCGAAATGAGTCAGAAAGAGCGGGACAGACACAGAAAGATTGCATTCATCTGGGGAACATAAAGCAACAAAATGGGAGACTAACACCCAGGAGTGGCTGAGATTAGTACCAGGAATTTTGCTGCATGACTTGGAGGCCAGCCACATGTGCTAGGTGAAAAGGAAGCTCAGATAGAGAAGAGAGCACCAAATAAAGGGGGTTGTGAGGATTCTCCCAGGGTGGGAGTAGCATGCTGAAAGTAGACTATAGACCAAACAGGATTGCCACTCAAAGCCTCTCTTGCAAAACACAGGACCCAAAAGAAGAGGGAGAGAACAAGGGGGAATGCCCTGCCACAGAGGCAAGGTGGGATGGGAGGGATGGGGGGGTGGGAGGGATGCTGGGACCCGTGGTGGTGGAGGATGGGCGCTGGTGGAGGGATGGGTACCTGATCGTTGTATAACTGAAACCCAAGCACAAAAATTTGTAAGTCTATAACTGTACCTCATGGTGTTTCACTAATAAAAAAAAATTTAAAAAAAGAAAGAAAAAAAGAAAACATACAAATGGCAAATGAAACCAGGAGCTTTAAAAAAAAAAAGTAAATAAGACTGACAAAATCTGAGCTCGATTCACAAGGAAAAGAAGTAAGTAAGTATAAAGACCCTCCGTTGATCATCGATTTGCTCGAGCGGGCCCAGTAACGTCTCCATTGGAGATTTTGTTGTTACTGTGTTTGGCATATCGAATACGTCACGGGGAGCTTGCCAGGCTCTGACATGCGGGCGAGATACTCTCGGTAGCTTGCCAGGCTCTCTGAGAGGGGCGGAGGAATCAAACTCAGGTCGGCAATGTTGACTGCGTGCAAGGCAAACGCCCTCCCTGAACGCGCCCGATCTCGTCTGATCTCAGAAGCTAAGCAGGGTCGGGCCTGGTTAGTACTTGGAAGGAAAAGAAAAGAGAGAGAAACATAAATTGGATCAGAGACAGAGACGAAAGGTGCCAAGAGACACCTCAGAAATACACAAGATGTTAAGGTTACTGCAACAAGCAGGTGTAAGCCAGTAGACCTAAGAAACAGAAGTGGATGAATTCTTAGAATCACCACTTTCTCAGATACTACTGACCAGGAGGAAAAATCTGTACACCAAACTTCAGATAAGGGGCTAATATCCAAGATCCATGAAAGTGCTCACAAAGTTCAGCAACAAAAAAACTCACAAAAAACGGGGAGAGGAAATGAACAAACATTTCCACACAAGGCCACGTGGATGATCAGCAGACACCAGAGAAAGTGTTTACTGCCACTTAATTATTAGAGAAATGCAAATGACAACATCAATGAGGTATCATCATACCAGTGAGATCGCCACACATCGAAAAGAGTAAATAAAAACAATGTTGGCAGGGATGTGGAGGAAAAAGGAACCTCCATCCACTGTTGGTGGAAATTTTGTATGGTTCAGCCTCTACGGAAAACCATACAGAGATTTTGCCCTGTGACCCAGTGATTCCATTTCTTGGCATCTTCCTACACACACACACACACACACACACACACACACATGCACACAAGCATTCATTCAAAGAATATGTTCACATCTAAGTTTACTGCCATGTTAAGTACAATAACCAGGACATGGAAACACTCCAAATGTCCAACAACAGATGTTTGGATGAAGAATGAAGAATGAAATGAATAAAGAAGTTGCGGTATATTTACACAGTAAGTACTATGCAGTCACAAGAAAAGATGAGATCAGGCAGTTCACTGCGACTTAATGAAACTGAACGGCATGGTACGTGAAGTTAGTCAGAGGGAGGACAATCGTGAATAATCTCACTCGTCTGTAGTGTAAAGTGAGACCAAACAATGGAAGTGACAATATCAAATGATATAAAACCCTTGCCCTATGTGGCAGGATTGAGAATATCAAGCTAGGAAGCCACAGCCAGAGGAGAATGATGAAGTGAAAGGAAGTAACGCGTTTTGGTGAAGGGTCTGGGACACTTTGGTGGTGGTGATGTCATTAATACATTTGTCAACATGTGATCTAAAGTATGGTAAAGGTAAAGGTAAAGCCCTCCCGTTGATCGTCGATTTGCTCGAGCGGGCCCAGTAACGTCTCCATTGGAGACTTTGTTGTTACTGTGTCTGGCATATCGAATACTCTCGGTAGCTTGCCGGGCTCTCCGAGAGGGGCGGAGGAATCGAACTCGGGTCGGCCATGTTGGCCGCTTGTAAGGCGAACGCCCTACCCGCTGTGCTATCGCTCCAGCCCAAAGGTAAAGGTAAAGGCCCTCCCGTTGATCGTCGATTTGCTTGAGCGGGCCCAGTAACATCTCCATTGAAGACTCTGTTGTTACTGTGTTTGGCATATCGAATACTCTCGGTAGCTAAAGTATAAGCAGACAAAAAAATTAATCTAAGGACTCATATCCTCTGTACTTCATCATTCATTCCTCTGGCCTGACTTTTCTCTGCGCCTCTGACTGACTGATCAATCACAACATTAATGTGTATACTTTTTTTTTTTTTTAAGCACAGCAGTGGGCTGGAGCAATAGCACAGTGGGTAGGGCGTTTGCCTTGCACACAGCCAACATGGCTGAACTGAGTTCGATTCCTCTGCCCCTCTCGGAGAGCCCGGCAAGTTACCGAGAGTATCTCACCTGCATGGCAGAGCCTGGCAAGCTACCAGTAACGTACGTATTCAGTATGCCAAACACAGTAACAAGTCTCACAATGTTACTGGGCCCGCTCGAGCAAATCAATGAACAACGGGAGGACCGTGATCGTGGTTTTATAAAGTTGTTCATGAGTTATTACGTTCAATATTCCAAACACAGTAACAACAAAGTCTCCAATGGAGACGTTACTGGGCCCACTTGAGCAAATCGATGAACAATGAGAAGACAGTGACAGGACAGTGACAGCACAGCAGTAGGGCATTTGCCTTGCACGCAGCTGGCCCAGCTGAGCCGGGTTCGATTCCTTCACCCCTCTCGGAGAGCCTGGCAAACTCCCGAGAGTATCTCGCCCTCACAGCAAAGGTTGGCAAGTTCCCAGAGACATATTCGATATGCCAAACACAGTAACAACAAGTCTCACGATGGAGACGTTACTGGGCCCGCTCGAGCAAATCGATGAACAATGGGAAGATGGTGCTACAGTGCATATAAAATGTACAATGAACTTGCAAAAGTTAATAACAAAACTGTAGCACCGTCCTCCTGTTTTTCATCGATCTGCTCGAGCGGGTATCAGTAACGTCTCACAACAAATTGTGAGACTTGTTGTTACTGTTTATGGCATATCAGATACGTCAAGGGGAGCTTGCCAGGCTTTGCTGTGTGGGTGAGATACTCTCGGTAGCTTACCGGGTTCTCTGAGAGAGACGGAGGAATTGAACGCAGGTCAGTTGCGTGCAAGGCAAACGCCTTACCCGCTGTGCTAGCGCCCCACAATCTTATTTGAAAAGAGACTAAAGACTTAAACAGATGTCTTACAAAGACATAGAAACAACAAATAAGCAGATGAAAAGCACCTGATTAACAAGAAACTGCAAATTAGCAGTGAGACAATTCTACAGACCTACTAGAAAGACAAAAATCTAGAACAGACAACATAAAATGCTGGTGAGGATTTGGAGTAAGAGGAACTATTGCTATTGGTAGGAATGAAAAATTGTACAGTCATTTTGGAAGACAGTTTGGCAGTTTTTTACAAAATTAAAGCATATTTTTAATGGTGAGTCAGAAACTGTACTACATGATGTAAGATTATCTTAGTATAATGGAAGAAGTTGTACATATATAGAGACAGAAGGTGCCTTGGAAACTTCTGCACACCTTTCTCTCAATTCTGGTGTTAACTTACACTATTCTGAAAAATACACTCCATTAAAATTATTTCAAAATGCCATAGAGACCTGTTCTCTGGTACCCACGTCATGCTGAGTTGCTGGTCAAAACTGTGTTCCAGTGAATCTGTGAATCCAGTGAATCTGTGAATCCAGTGAATCTGTGAATCAATCATCTCTCTCATACACCTTTATAGCTGGAGAGACAATTGCCCACATCCTGTCTTATTTCCCCCAGACAATACAGGAGTTGACACTGCTTTAACTGAATTGGTCTTGTGTGAATCAACGGGCTATTTACAGGCTGTGAAGTCTGGGTTCTGTCTCTGCCTGACACTTGGTGCCCCACACAGCCCTGCTGAGCTTTCTATAAAAAGGAGCCGCCTTCAAATACCCAACTTGGAAAAGAAACCCCAAGACTTGAGATGAGAGGCCGCACCTCTGCCCTGGGACCAGCAGGAAGAGAGAATGAAGCTGAGGACTTACCTGCTCCCTGCTTCAGCAGCTCAGCTGCCGAGTTGGCTGCTGTTTGAGGTGAGCTTTCCGCGATCTCCTCTAAAGGGTCTGCAGAAAAGAGCAAGAAAACGCGGAAATGAGTCTAGCTCGGAGAAGGAATCTTCAGGGCCATGAGAGACACCAGTGACGGGGTACTCAGACAGGGCTGACAGGTCTGCAGGGCTGGGACTTTTCCTCCAGGCCAACCACAGATGAACCAGAGAAACTGGCACCCAGTCTGGGCAAAAGTAGGATGACACCATCCAGCACGGTATCTCTCTGATCAATATTAATTTATATTAAAAGTCAAATTGTATGGGGCCGGAACCATAGCACAACAGGTGGGGTGTTTGCCTTGCACGCGGCAAACCTGGGTTTGATCCCCAGCATCCCATATGGTTCCCTGAGCACTGCCAGGAATAATTCCTGAGTGCAAAGCCAGGAGTGACCTCTGAGCATTGCTGGATGTGACCCAGAAAAGGAAATTAAATAAATAAATAAAAATCAAATTGCAAATAACATTTCTCTGTTATTTTAATTAATCATCTTTTGGTACTACAATCTAATCAAGTGAAACTGAGGCTGTCTAGAGAAGCTGGGACATTCAGAGACATCACTGTCTGCTGTAGCATGGTTTCAATAATGGGTACTGTCAAACCAACATGAAGAGAACAGTTCATCCAACATCTAAACTCAACAATGCAAACACTGCATATCTGGTAGAACCTTAACAATGAAATGGAACTGATTCTGAAGTGCTCGTAGTTTAGAATTCTGCTCTGTTGGCTTTTTGTCATACTTAGCAGTGCTCAGCAGCTACTCCAAGCACTGTAGTTAGGAGCCCACGTGGCCGTTTGCTCAGGGGCATACCTGGAGGTGGTGGGGGCGTATGTGGTGCCAGGATTCAAACCATGGCTGTGGCCACATTTGCATGTAAGACTTTAACTTCAACTTTAGCTCTATGGGCCCTTATTTTTTTTTAAAACAACTTATTTATTTATTTTTGCTTTTTTTTGGATCACACCCAGCAATGGCCAGGGGTTACTCCTGGCTCATGGGCTCAGGAATTACTCCTGGCGGTGCTCGGGGAACCATATGGGATGCTGGGAATTGAACCCGGGTCGGCCGCATGCAAGGCAAAAGCCCTACCCACTGTGCTATCACTCCAGCCCCTGGGCCCTTATTTTTGAGCTACAGAAATTCTACTCCATGGAAACCATTCAGCAAAGTCCATAATGTAAGTAATATGACTGTTCCCCCCGCCCCCCCCCCACCCCAGGTTTCCTTTCCTTGACCTGGGGATAAGGACTAGCATCCTTTATGCTTTACCTAGAGCACACAATAGAAAGAACTTGGAATCAAGAATTTCTCAGTTGACCTGTGGAGCTGCCCGATTCCAATGAGACTGATGCACTGGCGAGGTGACTACATACCTCTGTCTGGAATGAGCAGTTTGCAGGGCAAAGCCAAGGCTGTAATGGAATGCTGACAGACCAAAGCTGTCAGGCTACCTGCAAAGTGAGAAACAACAAACAAGTGTTAACAAGGCTCCAAATGCTGTATGGCTTAGCTAATCTACCTGCCAAAGGAAGGCCACAGAGTGTGACACACATATTTTGAGCAATTAACATGCTTCACTGTTGTGGAAATTTGAGTAAATTTTCAATGAAGCACAAGCTCAACAAAGTAACTTAAGAGTAGATAAAGGAGATTACAAAAAACTTAAGTGCACAGTATTCCTTTGTGTAGATATACCAGAGTCTTTTTAGACAGTCATCTGTTCTTGGCACTCAGATTTTTTCCAGATTCTGGCTATTGTAAACAGTGCTGCAATGAATATACAAGTGCAGATATCATTTCGATGATACTTTTTTGCCTCTCTGGGATATATTCCCAGAAGTGGTATTTCTGGGTCAAATGGGAGTGCAATTTCTCTTTTTAAAATTTTATTTATTTAATTCCCCTCCCCCCTTTTTATTCAGCGAATATCCTTTCCCATTCTGTAGACTGTCTTTGTATTTTGGACATTGTTTCTTTTGAGGTGCAGAAGCTTCTTAGTTTAAGACAGTCCCATTTGTCTATCTCTGTTTTCACTTGCTCAGCCAGTGGCGTGACATCTTTGAAGATACCATTAGCCTCAATGTCATGGAGGGTTTTGCCAACTTTTTCTTCAATGTACCTTATGGATTCCGGTCTGATGTTGAGGTCTTTAATCTATTTTGATCTTTTGTACATGGTGTTAAGCAGAGATCTGAGCCCACTTTTTTTGCATGCAGCCGCCCAGTTTTGCCAGCACAATTTGTTAAAGAGGTTTTCCTTACTCCACTTCACATTTCTTGCTCCTTTATCAAAGATTTGATGATCATATGTTTGAGGGGAGATGTCAGTATATTCAACCCTGTTCCACTGGTCAGCAGCTCTGCCTTTGTTTCAGTCCCATGCTGTTTTAATTATTACTGCTTTGTAGTAGAGTTTGAAGTTAGGGGGGTTGATCCCTCCCATTTTCTTTTTCCCAAGAATTGCTTTAGCTATTCGTGGGGGCTTATTGTTCCAGATGAATTTCAGAAGTGTTTGCTCCATTTCTTTGAAGAATATCATGGGTATCCTTTTAGGGATCGCATTGAATTTGTACAATGCTTTGGAAAGAATTGCCATTTTGACAATGCTAATTCTCTTGATCCATGAGCAGGGGATATCTTTCCATTTTCTCGTGTCCTCTTTTAGTTCCTGAAGTAGCGTTTTGTAGTTTTCTTTGTACAGGTCCTTTACTTCCTTAGTTAAGCTGATTCCTAGGTACTTGATTTTCTGGGGTACAATTGTGAACAGGATTTTTTTTTTCATGTCACTTTCTTCTCTCTCACTTTTTGCATATAGGAAGACCGTGGACATTTGGGAATTGATTTTACAGCCTGCAACTTTACTATATAAGTCTATTGTTTCTAGGAGTTTATTGGTAGAGGTTATAAGGTTCTCTAAATATAGTATCATATCATCTGTGAATAGTGAGAGCTTGATTTCCTTCTCTTCCCACCTGAATGCCCTTAATATCTTTTTCTTGCCTAACCGCTATGGCAAGTACTTCCAGTACTATATTGAACAGCAGTGGAGAAAGTAGGCATCCTTGTCTCATCCCTGATTTAGAGGGAAGCCTCTTAGTTTTTCCCCATTGAGGATGATGCTTATCATAGGTTTGTGTTAGATGGCTTTAACTATATTGAGGAAAGTCCCTTCTATACCCATTTTGGTGAGGGTTTTTATCATAAACGGGTGCTGGAACTTGTCAAATGCTTTCTCTGCATCAATTGATATGATCATATGCTTTTTATCTTTTCTTTTGTTGATATGATGGATTATGTTGATTAATTTCTGAATGTTAAACCATCCTTGCATCCCTGGGATGAATCCTACTTGGTCATGGTGTATGATCTTTTTGATGAGTCGTTGGATTCTATTTGCTAATAGTTTGTTGAGGATCTTTGCAACTGTGTTCATCAGGGATATCGGCCTGTAATTCTCTTTCTTTGTGGTATCTCTGTCTGCTTTTGGTATCAGGGTGATATTTGCTTGGTAGAAACCGTTCAGAAGTGTTTTGATATTTCAATATTGTGGAAAAGCTTAAAGGGATTGGGAGTAAGTCCCCTTTAAAGATTTGGAAGAATTCACCAGTGAATCCATCTGGGCCAGGACTTTTGTGCATGGGGAGACTTTTTATTACTGTTTCAATTTCCTTTATGGTCATAGATCTGTTCAGGTATTTCAGGTCTTCTTTGGTTCAGCCTTGGGAGTCTATAGGAATCTAGGAATTTATCTATTTCCTCGAGGTTTTTGTGTTTCGTGGCATAAAGCATCTCAAAGTACTCCCTGAGGGTCCTTTGACTTTCTGTAGTTTCTGTTGTAATGTCCTCCTTTTCATTTCTGATTCGGTTTATTAGGTTTTTCTCTCTGGGAGCTCAATTTCTAATCTTTCGAGAATCGTTCATATTATTTTCCAAAACAGCTGAATCAGTCGGCATTCCCACCTGCAGTGAAGAAGAGTCCCTTTCCCCACATCCGCGGCAACACTGGTTGCTTTTGTTCTTCTGGATGTGGGCCAGTCTCCATGATGTGAGGTGATATCTTACTGTTGTTTTGATCTGCATCTCCCTGATGATTAGTGATTAAGAGCATTTTTCATGTGCCTTTTGGCCATTCGAATTTCTTCTTTGAGAAAGTTTCTGTTCATTTTATCGCCCCATTTTCTGATGGGGTTCAATGTTTTCTTTTTGTAGAGTTCAACCAGTGCCTTGTAAATCCTTGATATCAACCTTTTATCAACTGTGTATTGGGTGAATGTCCTTTCCCATTCTGTTAATTGTCTTTGAATTCCGTTCACTGTGTCTTCTTGAGGTACAGAAGCTTCTCAGTTTGAGGCAGTCCCATCTGTTTATGTCTGCTTCCCACTTGGTTGGCCAGTGGAGTGTCCTCTTTGAAGATATCTTTAGTCTCAATGACATGGAGGGTAAAAACCCTCATGTCTTAATTCATAATGACCTTTTGCATAATTTGAAACTAGGGAAGTTGAGAGCAAGACAGTTGCAACTTTTACCACATAGGCTCAGTAAAGTGTTTCCATGGTTTATGGTACTGAAATGTATCAGCCCTATCTCACTGACATTAGTACCTGTCTCACCTGGGCAGCTCAAGTAGATTTCCAGCTAAGCAAGCAAGGTCAGGAAGACCCCATTTTCAGGGGGAATGGGAGGGGAGAGGAGGTTCAGGATGGCAGGATTTTCACAAACTGAATTTTCACTTCCAGTAGGGTACTTTTGGTGTGTTTTAGCTTTCCAGAACAAATTCTGAACCAGTTAATTTTATTTTAGGTCACTGATAATCCAGATTAGAGAAATTTAAGATTTGGGAAATATAAGTAAATGCCAGGAGTGAAGCAACAGGAGGGGAACAGCTCTCCCCAGGGAGAGTATAAATAGTCCACACTTGCATGCAAAGAAGATCTGTGCAAACTTGCGACTCACCGAAATATGGCTCATTGGAACACCCTTTCAACCGCACACCCTTTGGGGTGCACTCAATCAAAAAGTGCCGAACAAGTTCATTGGCCAAATCTCCACCTGTGGTAAGAGATTTAAGAAAGAAAAAATTACTTTTATTTTTAATAATAAAAGTATGGAGAAGAAAACGAGAGTGAAGAATGAGAAACCGGAACGGCTGATGTGAAGCAGCTCTGGGCAGAGCACTGTTAAGGAACAGCAGCTGAGCTTCAGGGCAGCCACTGGGCACCACCCAACACATTCTCACGCATGCTCCCAGGAGACTTTTAGCAAAGGGAAGGAGCTGGCAGCCAAGAGGAATGCGGTTCTCAGTTCCACCCCCTTCAAGAGTGGAGTCTAGAAGGCTCAGACTGTGATACCCAGGAGCCCCTGCCAGAGCAAGCCCAGCGGTCTGTAGCCACCATGCAGCTGACGCCACGCACTGTGTGCCTGTCCACAGTGCTCAGAGCCCAGAGAGGCCAGGCAGTGCAGTGCCCAGAGGGAAGTGGCAGACACAGACAGAGGAGAGCAGGTGATGGTGCAGGTAACACGTCAGACAGACCCTTCCTCTGTCTGCCTGGACCCTCAGCATTCCTGAGTTGGAAATCTCCTGACCTAGGACTCACTCGAGTGGATTTGGTTTACACTACCCAAAGTAGGCTCCCAAAGACAAGTATAAACAACAGTAACACAAAATAGCTCTATTTCTCAAGAACAGAACTCTTGCCCTAACAGGAAATGACCAGATTCCGTAAGAGGCTGAAAAAAGATAAAAATGGGGAAAAGAGCTCTCTGTCATTGGGATGAGGGAGGTAAGTAGCCCCTCTGCTATCATGGGCCAGGAAACAGGGACTGGACCCCAGTGATGGCAGGGAGTCGGGGGGCCGAGAGGCTGGTCCCTGGTGAGAAAATGCTGAGCTCTGTACCTGTGCTGTTTCCTGGGTTCAGAGGAAGGTGGTGGCTTATCCACTCGCTTCTCTCCTGTCATATCCCGCTCAAATCTGTCCTTGCACTGTTAAATCTGAATGCGAAATCCAGGGACAACAAAATAAGGCAGACTTGGTCTCTGGCACTTCCTGAAACCTCCGATTCTAAAAGCCTGTTTAGTGACCTTTATCTTAATACTGCGAGACAGCCAGGCTGAGTGGTGGATGCCCGACTGGTGTTAAGAAGAACCTTCAGCCACCATCTTCCATATCTTCAAAAAGATGATGCATGGGGAAAAAAAGAAAAAGGAAAAAAGAGAAAGGGAGGCCTGACCTGGCGGTATTCAGGGCTTACTCCTGTGCTCAGGTGTCCCTTTCCTGGTGGGCTCCGGGGACTACATGGGACACATGGCACTGAACCTAGGGTGAACGCATGCAAAGCAAAGGTCCTAACTGCTGTACCATCACTCTGGCCCCTCAAGCAAAAAGAAAACAAACAAACCCAAAAAATCTGCTGTTTTTTTAAAGTGAACTGAAGCTAAGGAGCCAGAGAGGCGCTCCCCCCCACCCATCTACTGATAGATACCCCCCAGCCAGAGATTTTCCTTGTCATTCAGATTGTTCCCAAGCAGATCAAATGCTCGGGAAAATGCCTTAGATCCTTCACAGTAAGAGTGAGTCACATTTCAGCCACTGAAGCCCTTACTCTGTCAGGTGTTGGTGGAGCTTCCCATGGGGGAAGTCGACAGGCTAAGCCAGCTTCTGAGAGCTTACCAGTTCTATCTGACCTACACAAAATCTTCTCCTGTTTAGCATGCAAAATCTACAGATCTGGGGTCTGAGCCCCGGGTTCCTTCCCAACCTCACCACTCACCCCATCCATTTAGAAAATAACACTACTATGACAAAATGACCTTTTCTATTCCTGAAAAAAACCTGCCAGTGCCTACTTTAACAACAAACCTCATTCTCCAAGGTCTAAGTCCAGGGGGATTTTCTCCAAGAAACTTTGGAGAAGCTCATCCAAGACTTAGATAAACCCTCTCAGGAGCTGGGCGAGAAACATGAGTGAAGGCAGTGGGAGGGAGGTCAATTAGCTCCCTAACCAAAATGATTTGGGAACCTGTTCATTGGGTCCCCTACTCCTGTGAACCCAACGGCCTTCTGAGGAGAACAGTGACCTCAGGCTCAGGTCCAACATCATCCTGTAGGGATCGGGGACCAAGAGTGTGAAAAACCTTCCACCTTTCCTGTCATTATAAAGAATCTTTCCCCTTTTGTGTCAGTGGTAAAGAAGGGCAGAAAAGGTGAGATTAACCTACCACCAAGAGTGGATACACAGAAGTCAGTTTATTCAGACCACAGGGCAGGAACTTGGCAATTACGAGATTAAGAGACAAAGAACAACGTACCATTTTAAACAGAGAATGAGGCCAGAGACACCTAAGAAGGGAATGGCCTTGTCTTGCCTAGGGCTGACCTTGGTTTGATCCTGTCATGTATAAGATTCCCAATTACCACTAGGGCTCACTCCTGAGCACAGAGCACTGTGAGGTATAACCCAATCTCTCCCCCAAATCTATAATAAAACACCCATATGATGCTGAATAAAGCCTGAAATTCACTGAGTAGGCCTCTTGTCCTCAATGGAAATGAGCACATTTTGTGTATACTGGGACAGGAAATGAGTAGCACAGTGGTGTTGTTGGGGACAAGTTTGTCACTGTGACAAGACATGGAGATATCACATTGAAACTGGTGGTGTTAGCATGAACTACTGATTTTTCTTTTTTATTCCCAATTAGGTAACTCTGGGATCTTTTGGATAAAATAAACAGTGGAGGTGGGTTCCGATACCAAAAGAAAAAGCAAGCAGGGATTTTCTGAAAAGGGGTGGCGGCCAACACATGTCTGCTTCCTAGCCATACTGAGCTGTTCATGTCGGCAGAGCAAATGGGCTGTGTGTAGCTATGTTGCGTTATAAAAAGTGTTAAGAATCAGTAAGTAGGTAACTGGTCTATATCTAAATATAATTTGGTGGATATTCTGCAGTGTTACCACAAAGGAGGGGAAAACACTCTCCTCTCCCTTGACAAGCAATCATCTGGTGATTCACTTGCCTTTCTGATACCATACATATTATTGTGGAGGTGACACCAGTGGTCTGGAGGGTGCACCCTCGTGCCAGGACTGAACCCAGGCTCTCACATGTGTGATTCAACTCAAGCCTCAGCCCTAATCTCCAGGATCACTTTTAACCCACTGAAGTGCTGAGTGGAGATGCAAGAAGTGTACAAAGTATAGTATGTCTACAAGAAAATATGAATGCTCTCTATTTGCATCACTGGAGAGACACTAAGAAAACATGGGGTGAGGGGGGACCGATGAGGGGTAGATACCAGTGGGAAGTAAAGCAGGCTGCGGTCAAAGGCCTTAGAGGAAACCTGATTACTATTAGTACATGGGTTAATTCAATCAATAAAATAAAAATTCCAAATAATTAACATTCTTTCTTGAACCAGGGCAGTCCTTAGTGAAGTATGCCTAAAAAAATACTAAGAAGAAAATGAGTAAAGATAGTATAGTGCTAAATCATCTGAGAGCACACTGGCACTCGGCAGAGGTTAGCCCAATAGACCAGCAGATCAACACCAATGCCTACCTTTCTTGTTCAGCTGCAGGACTGACGGGGGTGGAGTGGCCACCTTCATGGCCAGGCCGTAGGCACCTCGGAAGGAGTGGCTGTCCCTGACGATGAATGAGCCAGGTTCCTTGTCCCTCAGCATGGCAATGGCTGAAAGAAGGGGAGGAAGGGTATGTTGAGTATTTGCAAGATGCAAGACCCTACTGAGGAAAATGTCATGAGACGCCCTTTCTCTTTATGCAAATGGTAAGAAGGAGCCAGCCAGGGTCCAGTACAGCTGGGTGAGCAGTCTGGTTGAGTAGAATCCTTCTACATGTGCAATGAGGCAGAAGAGGGGTTGGAGTGGGGGGGGTGGGGTCCCGAAGGAGGGGTCTGGGTATGGAAGGGGAAGTGCATGAAGGCCCTTCTTCAGATCTGAGACACTAGTCTCTTTAGCCAGCTATTCCTTCACCATGGAGCCCTCTGGAACACAAACAATGACACGAAGGTCCAGGAGCCAGACCACACTAGCTTCTCTGCTGCCCCTGTTGTGGCCTGGTGGGGGGGGGGGGGGGCGGGGGTCATGTCCTCCCATGGCATTTTAGGCATTTTCTTAAGAGGTTTTAGATTACGTCCCTTCAACAGAAGAAAATGAAAGAAATCACCAAACACATTTCATCAAAAAAACACCTCCCATCCCCTAGAGTTACTGAATACAAATTCCAAGATTTGCCACAGGATGACAAAGATGCAGCTGTTCTTTCTAGTGGCTGGCAACCTCTCCTGTCAGTCTGGGAACCTCTGTAATGTGTCAGTCAAGAGCTGATGGCTGAGCTGAGCTGGACACAATGGCCCCATCTAGGTAAGGACCGAGGTATAGGACAGCGGTTATGATGCTCACCTTCCACACAGTCAACCTGGATTCCATCTCTGGCACCCCACATGGTCCGCCAAGCACTGCCAGGAGTGATCCCTGAGCTCAGAGCCAGGAGTAACACCAGATCACAGACTGGTGTAGCCCCAAACAAAAATGAAACAAAAATCTTTAAAAGAATCCCCTAAAATATAATTTCCTTTTGTAGGGCGTTTGCCTTGCACACAGCCGACCCAGGTTCGATTCCTCCATCCCTTCTAGATAGAGAGCTAGGCAAGCTACCGAGAGTATCCTGCCCACATAGCTGAGCCTGGCAAGCTACCCGTGGCGTATTTAATATGCCAAAAACAATAACAACAAGTCTCACAATGGAGACGTTACTGGTGCCCGCTTGAGCAAATCGATGAACAACGGGATGACAGTGCTACAGTGCTACATGTTTCCTTGCGCCCATAGGTCACACTGTGAGTTATGTATCTCTACATCAGACCTTGGGAGACTGTAGAAAATCAGCCCCTAACTGCATCCCCAGGGTCAGAAAATACCTGGGCAATGCAGCTTAAGTCTTGGAATACAAAAACAAGGAGAAAAAAATGCACTCAGAAAAGAACTGTAAACAAGGGCAACAAGTCCCAAGCATTTGCGACTTTAATACTTTAATGTGCGGGCTGATCGGCACTCTGGCTCTGCTCTGAATGGACCCACTGAGTCTGGGTTTGCTCAAAAACTGTCCATAATGTCTCTCAACTTAATACCTTGTGCTGGGATCCGGGGGGGGAACAATATTGTACTGAATAAATGGGCAGTCTGTGGGCTCACTCAGGGCTGCCCAGGTGTTCCTAAAATTTGGACAGTCTGTGGTGTGTGTGTGTGTGTGTGTGTGTGTGTGTGTGTCCCTGTGTATTTGTATGTCTCACTATTTGTCACCAGCCCCCACTGGACAGAAGTGAAGGTGCCAATCCTACTGGCTTTAGACAATAAATAGTCCATAACATGAAATAAGGGGGTCAGGGTAAAAGTCCAAGCTAGATACTTTCAACAGACCAGAATTTTCTCTAGAAGCAGAAACAGATCTCAAAAGTCTAGAGACTTTTACCATTTATAGATTAAAAAAAAGAAAAGGTAGGGATTTCAACTACAAAAAAACACAAGTTTACAGTCATGAAAATGCCACCTTTCAGTTAAGGAGGTAGATAAGGGGGAGACGGGGGGCAGAAAGAGAGACAGACAGACAGACAGACAGACAGACAGACAGACAGAGGGTAATGGCAGGGCCTCTGCCCCAGCAGTGAAGCCCACAGTCTTCACAAGTCCAGTTCCATCCCTGATCTCCAGGCTCTGGGATAAGACCACTGGGATAGTTCTATCTCGTCCCTCTCACTCGCTCAAACAGGTGCCTTCTGGGGCAGCAAGGGAAGCAAACCCTTGGAGACTGCAGCTGGGACAAGCTGGTTTCATTTTGATTTGACTTTGTGACCTCTTTTACCTCCTGAGGTATTTTATGTCAATCCCAGAAACAAAATCTCAAAGTAATCTTGCCACCGTGACGCAGGAGCAATTATGCTCTAACGAAGGTTCTATGGATGACATTCCTTTTTGTCCATCCCTGAAATGGCACTATAGCTTTTCCCAGAAATGAGGAACAAAACCAAACCCATGGGCACATTCTCACATAGGAAGCTGTGCGCCCTGGGCAGCAGCTGTTGCGGCATGAAATATCCAGACGATGGCAGATGTGCTTGTAGATCCCAACCGAAAAACCAACAGTGATGTACATCTTAGTTCATCTGACATGGGGCTTCCCCAAGAAATGGTTTCAAACGTGTGGCTGAGACTAGGCAAAGGACAATCGAAGTTCCTACTGCTATGTAGCCCACCGGTGGCATGTGCACCTGCCACACTCAGCCCTCGGCCTGACACCAGCTCTGTCACCTGCATCCCCAACAGTCAGCCTATGTCAGAAGCCAGAGGCAGCTCAGCTCCGTCCTCCAGAGCTTGTCCAGTCCCCTCATCTCCAAGCCACAGCAGCAGAATCAGGGGGTCACCCAGGAGCTTCTTACTCAGAGCCTGTGCAGCTGGGTGAGCTGTCGAGGGGCCTGTGTTAATGGCCACAGTCACTGGGATTCTTGTGAAGGCAGGAAGGGCGGGAAAGTAGCAAGTGGCAGCCCGGAGGCCCTCCGCATGGGAGCACCACAGCTACAAAGGCAGATTCAGAGCCGCAGTCTGCACCAAGGGCTCCTTCCCCACCCTCTATAAGAAGACAATAAGCTCATTGAGCTCCTGGGAAGAAGTACACATTCTTGCCATTTTTACTATCAACAATGCATTTCAGTGAGAAAGTTGGACAGTGTTTTCCTGCCAGTGAACTGCACTTCTGAGAAGGGACAGCACTAGATGACTTTTTTCCAAAGTTGAGCTAACAAGGCATCATAGAAGCCAGCTGCATGCTGACCATGGCTAGTTCTTGCTTCATTCCTTTCTCAGATCAGCACCCAGGCATGCTGGGTACTGGCCAGCTGCCTGCCCACTTCCTTTACGAGACCCAGAGGGCTGCTTCAGAGAATGGCCTGCACTTTTGCGTCCATCTCTGCCGAGGTCTGTCCTGGGGGGCTGGGGGGAGCCCTCAGTTTCTCACAAAGATCCAATGGATTTTGCTACAGGAAAATAGCTGGACCCCAGGAACATTCAGAAGTCCTGCCGGCCTCGCTTGAGCACGTCGTCCCTTCTCCCAACCCTTGGTTCTGGTACCTTGAGCTGGATGGAGACTGGGGTCGTTTCCTCATCACGATCTGCCATCTGGCTTGTAATGCAGCAGACCTTGGCTATCGAACACCTCCAGAAATCTCACACTACATGTCAGCAACCTCATGGCTCCCACCCCTTACTGATCACCAACCACAGCTGGAACCTAGTACTTGCCAGGACACAGCTGCCGCTAACCTTTAAAAAACCCAGCCTCTCCCCCAGAGACAGTCACAAGGCAGAAATCTTGTCCTAAGCCTTCTGTGGCAGTGAGGAGGCTCTGATATTCCCATTCCCTTACCTTGTTCTCGGGAGATATCTGCTTTGTACCAGAATTTGGATGTATCTTGGACAAAATTCACAGACAGATGCTTGTCACCTGAATTATCTGCAAGAAAGAATTTAAAAACTTTAACTGCGCATTGTGTCTGGCTTGCAGACTCACAGCTCCTGAGGAGCAAAAGTTTCCGAGACCCACCCCACATGAGAGGACCGTGACGAGAAGCACAGCATTGCTGGCTCGAGGCAGTGACAGACCAGAGCACAGCAGCAGGAGAGCAGAATGTACTCGGGGGTTCTGCCTCGGTAATATGCCTCGGTAATATGCAGACAGACAGAAGCAAACACTGGAAGCATGGAACTATAGAACAGGAATCAGTTTCTTGTCTGTACATCTGAGATCTTTCATAATTAATCCACTGTCCACTGTCCTCCCGTGGTTCATCGATTTTGCTCGAGCGGGCCCAGTAACATCTCAATTTTTGAGACTTGTTGTTACTGCGTTTGGCATATCGAATACGTCACGGGGAGCTTGCAAGGCTTTGCCGTGCGGGCGAGATACTCTCGGTAGCTTGCCGGGCTCTCCGAGAGGGGTGGAGGAATCAAACCTGGAGCAGCCGGGCTGGCTACACGCAAGGCAAATGCCCTACCGTTGTGCTATCGCTCCAGCCCACTAATATTTGAGTGAATTTACCTTTTTTAAGTTACCTTCAAATATCAATGATTCTGACTGCAAAGAAAATAAACCTCTTGCAGATATCTGCATTTTCTGTTTTTGGAATGAATCTGACATAAATTGCATGCAGAAACTGAGATACACTGGCACGAAGCTCTAGGCCTGTATTTTGCTTTGGACTCACAAGGTGAAAATCTACCCCTTGCTGGCTCAGGGTTTCCTTGCAGACCTCAGCCCAGCACACAGTGAGACTCTCACCAGGGCCACTGAGTAAGTACCACGGACCCTTCTGCACAAATGAACACTGTGGCTCATGCCCACCACCTACCTGGAGAAGGTGCTGCTGCCTCTGCAGTCTTGGAAAAGTCCGGAAGAATGTTTGGGAAAGGGATGCTCATGGTGCTGCCACTGTGGGGACTGGAGAAACCGCTAGAGGAGGGAGAGATGGAGCCGAGGGAACGTTCTCCCTCCGAGGCCCGCTTCTTCTCGGGGAGAGGAGGCTGCCCAGGCAGAGTCAGCCCCTGGCCCTGTACAACGGAACTGTGCTGGCCACTGTGTCCAGGCACCAGCATGAGAAAGTCGTGGGATAGGAAGCCACTGTCAGTGGCCGGCACGACGGGCCTCGAGGGTCTGGGAGGCTGGGACCCTTCGTGAGACTTGGCCATCAGAGCTGCTGGGTCCTCCCGGGAGGGGAGAGCACTTCCCAGGGGGGCAGTGCCAAAGGACAGGGAGGTCTGGCCACTCTGTGTGCCCAGCACTTCCGGAAGCTCCACCACGGGCAGCTCCTGACTGTGGAAAGAGGCCGGGAGCTCTGCAGGTGGGAAGTGGGGTTGTCCGGGACCATCCTTGCCAGGGTTGGTGAACTCGCTAGCACCAAGGAGTCCTCCTGCAGGCCGGCTGGTTCCCAGCAGGTTGAGTGTGGCTGAGGGAGTGTTCTCCACCCATGGGTGTTCAGCTGAGGAAGAGCTGTGCAAGAGACAAATCAACTGTAAGACAAGGTCCAGCCCAGGGAAATACTCAGCATCAGCAGTGTTGTGCTGTGATTCCTGTGATGATGGAGCCCAGAGCCCGGCTCCCCTGCACAGGACTCGGTTCTTGCAGCCTCCCATCTGCCATTCTCTTCCTCCTTGCTCTTCACCTGGCAAAGGTCCTTCTGTCCTTCCACTCTCCAGGACCACACTTCTCCTAACTGTGCCCCAGTGTACCTCACCACAGCCCTGTGTGCTAGGAATGTGTATGTGTATGTGTGTGTGTGTATGTATGTGTGCATGTATGTGTTTGCATGTGTGTGTGCGCACATGTGTGTATATGTGTATGTGTGTGTGTGTATGTGTGTGCATGTGTGTGTGTGTGTATGCGGGTGTGTGTATGTGTCTGTATGTGTGTGCATCTATGGGCCTGAAACCAAGGAAGATGCTTCATGTGACTCTGACAGGGTCCTAGGCTTGGCCAAACACTGTGTTCCCTGCCTTGGTTCCCTGCCCTGCGACTCATTCCCGATCTGCAGCCTTGGGCAGGGCCCCTTCTGCACCTGGCCACTGTGACTCAGGAAACAAATCCCCATGACTTCCTAGCACCTTTCTTAATGTCAGCTCAGCATCACTCCCATGGACGCTCTGTCCTCGGCTCGCCAACCCAAGACTTCACTGTCACCCAATTAAGTGCCCAGGAATGTGGGAGCCTGTGAACAGTGAGGGAGCACTGTCAGGAACTTTATGCGTTGTTGATTTGGGGCCACACCTGGCGGTACTCTGGGCTTACTCCTGGCTCTGTGCTCAAGGACGGGCTTCGGGGACCACATGAGGTGTTAGGGACAGAACTCGGGTCAGCCACATAGAAGGCACATGCCCTGCCCACTGCACTATCGCTCCAGTAATGTTTGAAGATGTTCCTTTGCATTCGCAGGGCAGTCTTGAAACAGGACTCGCCCTGCCACCCCTCCCCCAGCTCTCAGGAGCCCACTCCTACCTGTCCCTGCACTGGCCAGGGCCGCTGCTGGCAATGGTGCAGGACGATGCAAAGGTCCGCTGGAAGGAGGGCACTGGCGGCAGGTCGGCCCGAAGCGTGACGGGGTTTGGTCCCACGGGGCTCTCTGACATCCCCACAGTGTGACCGAGACTCTCAGGACAGCCTCGTCGTTCTGGAAAAGGAAACAAGAGCAGAGAGACCTTGGTGACACGAGCCAGGGCTGCGGCCCTTAGGTGAGGAAAGCTGTCAACTCTTTTGAGTCTCCCGCTGTCCAGCAGGGCCCAGTCCTACCAACACTGAACTGCAGCTGTCGCACTTTTATAGATCCCAGGACACCTAAAGGTCAGTCTTGTCTGCAGCTTTGAGCAGAGTGTCCCTTGTCAGGTGACTATGACAACCAATGAGGGAAACACTTCGTCCCAAGTCATCTCCTGAGCTCCCTCTAGGCTGTGTGACGTCCCTGCAACGCTCCTCATCTCCAGCTCATGCAAAACGGTCCTGCCGGGAAGACGTTCCTGGAGGTGCAAAGAGCACCCTATCCCATCACACCAGACGGAGAAGCAGCCCCATGCACAACTGATTTGTTCTGAGGCCCAGGCTGCAGAGCTTATGGACTTTCCCTGATAAAACTCAGGTTCGGTCTATGGTACAACAACTCTGTCAGTTCTGAGGGTTACAACCTGCCCCCTTTAACAAAATCAAAACCAAACAAACAGAAAACTTAGCTCTTAGGGCACAGAGAGGAGAGCACAGGTGTTAAGGCCCTTGCCTCGCATGTGGCTGAGCCTAGCCTGATCCCCACTCCCCATGGTCTCACAGCACTGAGGAGTGGTCCATAAGTCTGGTCCGGGTGTGGTTCCCAAACAAAAACAAACAAAACAAAGTAAACTTTAAGAACTAGACATGTGGCTTCCTCCTAGAAAATGTTGGAGGACTGATAAGAATAACAGAAAAATTCCATGTCACCAAGTTATCAGTCGCAGGAAGGGAGTGGCACGAGGCACATCCTACAGCTTCTCCCACAGCCTCCGACTCTCCCAGGGGCCCACAGCAGAAGAGGAAGTCCACTGGTAGTAGAAGGGGGTAGGAGCCGGGGTTCAGAGCCACCTTGGCATTAGGACTTGATGGTTCAAGTTCCCAGAGAAAAAGAAGGGGCTGCAAAGAAGTGACTCAGACATCAAAGGCAAAAATGTCCCCCTCTTTCTCCTACATCAGACATAGAACCAGAAGTAGAATGGAACTGGTGCAAAAAACCAGATAAGGAACTGGAGTAGCATCGAGATGGGATCCTAACAACAAACCAGAGTTGCTCAAGCTTCTTTCCTAGATGCTTTCCTTGGGAGCTCTGCCAGTCATAATGAGCTCTCCTAAACACATGTCCCAGAGAGATCAGCCGGCACTGAATGCAAACCTTTGGCCTAAGAGAAATAAGACTTTCCCTTTGGGAACCTTCTAGAGCCTATAGGTTTGGACACGTATAGGAGTGTATCTGTGTGCACATATATATGTGTATATACATGTGCATGTATGTATCTATATATATGTATCTCTGTGTATGTGTGTATATTTATGTTGTATATGTATGTGTTTGTATTGAATATGCAGATATGTATGTAGACATGTGGGCAGGAGTATGTGCCTACTCAGTCATCTATCAAGCTACCTATCCATCCACACAACCATCTACCTATCAACTATCTATAATTTAAAAGTAAAAGTAAAGTAAAGGCCCTCCCATTGTTCATCGATTTGCTCGAGTGGGCCCAGTAATGTCTCTATTGGAGACTTTGTTGTTACTGTGTCTGGCATATCGAATATGTCACGGGGAGCTTGCCAGGCTCTGCCATGTGGGTGAGATACTCTCGGTAGCTTGCCGGGCTCTCCGAGAGGGGTGGAGGAATCGAACTCGGGTCGGCCATGTTGGCTGCGTGCAAGGCAAATGCCCTACCACTGGTACACAATAAGTTTATTTGATTATATTTATTGATTAAAACTGATCACAAAAGCAATCAAGTTATAAATTTTTTAATCCATAAAAACTAAATAGTAAAAGTTGTTTTTAACTATAGTCATTTAAAAGTTTTATTTATAACAATCAAATAGTTGCTGGAGCGATAGCACAGCGGTAGGGCGTTTGCCTTGCACGCAGCCAACATGGCCAACCCGAGTTTGATTCCTCTGCCCCTCTCAGAGAGCCCGGCAAGCTACCGAGAGTATCTCGCCCGCACGGCAGAGCCTGGCAAGCTCCCCGTGACGTATTCGATATGCCAGACACAGTAACAACAAAGTCTCCAATAGGGACGTTACTGGGCCCGCTCGAGCAAATCGATGATCAACAGGAGGGCCTTTACTTACTTTACTTTACTTATTTATAAATATCAAAGACACAGGGCGGAGAGATAGTATGGTAGGTAAGACACTTGCCTTGCAAACAGCTGGCCCCGGTTTGATCCCTGCCACTACAATTGTCCCCTGAACACATGGCGAGGAGTGAGCCCTGAGTAGAGCCAGGCTAAGACCCCAAAACCACTGTAGCACTGTCCTCCCATTGTTCATCAATTTGCTCAAGCGGGCCCAGTAACGTCTTTATTATGAGACTTGTTGTTACTGTGTTTGGCATATCCAAAACGTCACGGGTAGCTTGCCAGGCTTTGCCGTGTGGGTGAGATACTCTCTGTAGCTTGCCAGGCTCTCCGAGAGGGGAGGAGGAATTGAACTCAGGTCGGCCGGGCCGGGCCGGCCGTGTGCAAGGCAAATGTCCTATCTGTGCTATCGCTCCAGCCCCTACCCCAAAACCAAAACAAATGAAAAACAAAACAAAATAAAAATCAAAGATAAAACTGAAAAGTAACTCCCTGCCCAATTAGGTGTGAGGGCAGAGCCAATTTCAGCACTAAGGTTTCAAACACAGAGCAAACTTCTCTCTCCAGAGAAGCCACTGCCAATGTTCTACCTGTCCACACCACCCTGGAAGCGCCGCCCGCCCGGCTACAGACAGAACAGCCTCATCAAGGGGCAGTGCTCAGCAGAGAAGCATGGCCCTGTGCAGGCTCTCCTCACCGCCCCTGACACATCCCCAGAGCAGGCCTAGCTGCCCGCCCTCGGGGCTGGCATTTTTTCTGTCCTTGTGCTGAAGGCGACAGAAACAGTGAGAAACATGGGGAGACGGGAAGCCCTGGCAAAGGAAGGTGAGATTGGTGGAGGCAACTGTCACCATGACCACGGATAGCGCTGAGATGTGTCCTCCCCTCCCCAGGCCAGTGCTGTGAACCACTGCACCCACAGGGGAAAAAGGGCAAAGGGCCAGTCACAAGGCAGGCTGGGAGAAGGCAGCGAAACCCGGGACATGGGTACAAGGGGTGGCTGCTGGAACACTGTACGTCTGAAACTCAATCACAAGTAACTTCGTAACTGTGTCATTCGCAATGATTCAATCATCAAAAAAAAAAATAATAATAATAAATCGGTGTCTGCTGGATGAATGAACCAAATGGAAGCCCACTCAAAGCACATTCAACCCACCCAGCTGCGGGGACAGACAAACCTGTACGTATGGTCCACACTTGTACGTCGCTTCTTGGTAAAGAAATCACAACTTCACTGACATTGGCTTGGTTTTACCTATCATTTAGGATGCATTTTGTTGAGCACTGACTATCTACCCTCACTTAGAGTGCCAGGTTCTTCAAGACAGCAGGAGAGACGCCGGTGAGAGCAGCCCGCCCGCATGGAGAGAAGCCCTCTGGGAGCCACACCAGCACCCAGTCTAGAGGACGGACGGCCAGCTGTGTGCTTAGGGAGCCCCTGGGAGGAAAGCCAGGTCAGGGCAACTCCAGCACCCCTGCGAAGGCAGGGAGCTGAAAGGACAACATGCAAAGCATGGTGTAGAAATACAGCAACATGCTGGTAGTGAGGAAAGAGGGTGGAACTGAGTCCCCGAGACACAAGCCAAGGGGCAGTAGGGCCTTGAGTCAGTAACACCGCTAACCAGGAGAGTCTAAAGTGGCTGCTGCTCCAGGGTTACTGGACCCTCAAGGGACTGAGAGTATCAGACACAACATCAACCGTGGCTCAGCTGAGCGCCTGCTGCCACTGAGAGCAGTGGTCCCACGCACGTAGCCAGAGATGCCACATGTTCCCTGAGCCCCAGGGGTGGCAGGATCAAGAATCCTGCTCTGCTGTCGCAGTGCATGAAATTTCCACCAAAGAACAGGCTGCAGGAAAGCAAAAGCTTGCCGTGTCCATTATCACAGGGTGCAGTCCAGAACACAGCACAGCCAACACCAGCACCCAATACTCTCCATTCCAGGGCCTTGGTTAGAACTCAGCTCACGCTAGCCCTGGGGCACACAGCCTGGCCGGAGCAGCCCCTACATCCTGGGAGGAGACTCCTGAGGTGAGCAGCTCAGCCCCCGGCCCTGGACCTACAGCCCTCAGAGACAAATGCCGCTGAAGAGGGCCTCACGGCAGGCCTCTGCGGTCCATCTGCTAGGAGCTGGACTGGGGGACATGGGTTGATAACTTCAAAGGACAGCCTCTGTTCCTGCTGGGGTTCACAGAGTGACAGGGACCCCACAGGGCTGGAGAGCTGCTGAAAATATCAACTCAAGAACACAAAATCCTAGGAGGCAAAGAGGCAGCAGAGCAGGAGGGATGTTTGCTCATCTTGTATGTGGCCAATGCCGCAGTCACACACACAGGTCCCTGAGCGCAGAGTCAGGAGGGAGCCCTGGGCACCTCTGGACATAGGCCCCCGACCCGGAAACAAACAAGAACATAACCGGAAGTGCATGAGGGTGAAACTCAGGTGTGCGCCTTCCCCATACAATACCTGCACCTCATCTTAGGTCCCAAACTAGGAGATGCTGCTGCTGTATGCCTGCTCTTCCAGTCGAAATGTGACAAAAGAGGTGACATTCCTGAAGACTGTCAGGGGCCGAGGGCCTGCTCTGCAGGTGCCAGGCCTGACTCCTCAGCTCTGGCCACCACATGGTGCAGGGGGAGTACTGGCTGGGGGAGCTGCATGAGCAATGCTTTTAGCCCCAGTGTATACTGTAGCCTGAGCCCGCCCCGTCCAACATGCTGTGTGCTGACACCTCCCTGGCTCCTCTTTCTCTGCACCTGCTGCTACCCTTTCCTGTCGACATCCAGGGGGCTTCTCTCCCAGAGGCT